GTGGCCGAAAATCAGAAGGAAATCGTGAGGCGTGAAGCATCTAGACGCTTGGTTTGAGTCTGTTGTGAACGCAGACGGCAAAAACGGATTCGTACTCTGCTACTTCCTCCCAGCACATCAGTGGGATATCACTAGACGCCTGAGATCAATCTGCTATCAGCTCGGGCTTAAAAACGCTATTTTTTTTCGAACATAATATATGGTCAGGAAGCTCTACGAGTCCCCCGGCGGTAAGAAAGGTTGACGGTTTACCGCCGGCGCCCAGTTCAGGGCCGTAGCTGCACTATTACTATCAAAACACTTGGCGGAACCGACTTTCGATGAAAACCAAAAAACAATTGTTGGAGTTTTCAGCTAACGCTTGATGAAGCTCCTTGCATGTCAGCACGCGCGAGGAAAGAGCTCTACGACGCTCCCGGCGGTAACCTGGTTGACGGTTTACCGCCGGCTCCCAGTTCCGGGGCGCTGGAGAGCTAGTTGCAAGATAAATCTCGACGGACCTTTTGGTGACTTTTGGTCGGTTGAAAATTTTGTTCTCGAAATTCCTCAAGTCGTTTGAGCTCTAGTATTTTTCCCGTGATATTAGATCTTATTCCCGCTGGCCGTCTCGATCTCAGCTCGATCGGGTACCTTTTAGTGCCAAAAAGCATCCCGAAGGGATCGGCCGTTTCGAATCATCTTGACAGACGTTCTCGGTTTTTTGTACTTAACCCGAGCTGTAGGACAGCTACAGAGCTGATGCTTACAGAAACCGATCCAGAATCACCAGGCGCGTTTGTCTGTTGAATTCAGAGCTCTGAACTCGGTCTGCTGCCCGAGCTAGGTCCGCGGAACTGTTTGTACTGTTCGAGTCATCTTGAGAGGTGCTGTCGGTTTTCTGCACTTAACTCGGGCTGTAGGGGGGCTACAGGGCTCATAATCACAGGAATCGATTCGGAGACATCAGACGCGTCCGCCTGTCGCATTCAGAGGTCTGAACTCGGTCTGCTACTCGAGCTAGGTTCGCGAAACTATTCGTATTGTTCGAGTCATCTTGGGAGATGCTGTCGGTTTTCTGCACTTAACTCGGGCTGTGGGGGGGCTACAGGGTTGATAGTCACAGGAATCGATTCAGAGACATCAGGCGCGTCCGCCTGTCGCATTCAGAGGTCTGAACTCGGTCTGCTACTCGAGCTAGGTTCGCGAAACTATTCGTATTGTTCGAGTCATCTTGAGAGGTGCTGTCGATTTTCGCACGTAACTCGGGCTGTAGGAGAGCTACAGAGCTGATGCGCGCAGAAACTGATTCGAAATCATTGTGCGCGTTCGTCTGTTGCATCCAGAGGTCTGAACTGGGTTTGCTACTCGGGCTAGGTCCGCAAAAGTGTTCGCATTCTTCAAGTTACCTTGGCAGATGTTGTCCCTTTTCTGTATTGAACCCGGGCTGTAGGAGATCTACGAGCTGGTACGCACAGAAAACGATCCAGAAGTATCAGGGGCGTTCGGCTGTTGCATCGAGAGGTCTGAAAACGCTGGGGCTGAAAAACTATTCGTTCTCTACAACTTTTTTTGACATCATGTATGGTCAGCAAGCTCTACGAGTTCCCCGGCGGTACGAAAGGTTGACGGTTTACCGCCGGCGCCCAGTTGGCCGACCGGACCAAAAGAGACAATGTGGCACATTTGGGTTGGTTTTGCTAAGATTTGAAAGATATTCGACAATTCGTTTTGAGAAACCAGATTTTGTGCACCTGTAGTGGTTTATGCCGCGTCTGCCAGTCGAATTCTCAGGTCCGTAGGTGCAGTATTACTATCAAAACACTTGGAGCAACCGACGTTGGATAAAAACAGAAACGTGATTTTTCGAGTTTTTCGTTTCTCGCTCCAGAAGCTTTCTTCATGTGTTCCGAAGACCGCTGTGCAAGAAAAGAGCTCTACGAGGTTCCCGGCGGTCACCAGGTTGACGGTTTACCGCCAGTTCCCATTTGACAATTCATTTTAAGAAAGCAGAATTTTCGCACCTGTAGTGGGTTATGCCACGTCTACCAGTCAAATTCTCAGGTCCGTAGGTGCAGTATTACTATCAAAACACTTGGAGCAACTGTCTTTGGATAAAACATAAAAAACATGTTTTTTCGAGTTTTTGGGGTCTTGCTCCAGACTGTTCCTTCATGTGTACCGAGCAGCGCCGTGCGAGAAAGGAGCTCTACGAGGGCCCCGGCGGTAACCTGGTTGGCGGTTTACCGCCGGTTCCCAGTTCCGAGGCGCTGGAGAGCTAGTTGGCAAGAAAAATCTAGACGGACCTCTTGGTGACTTTTGGTCGGTTGAACATTTTGTTCAAGTATTTTTTCCCGTGATATTCGATCTTATTCCCGCTCGCCATCTTGATCTCAGCTCGATCGGTTACCTTTTACTGTCAAAAAGCACACCGGCGGGATCGGCCCTTTCGAGTCATCTTGATACGCGCTCTCGGTATATTGGACTTAACTCGAGATACAGGACAGCTACAGAGCTGGTAAGCACACCGTATCGATTCAGAATGATCAGGCGCGTTCGTCTGTTGCATCCAGAGGTCTGAACTCGGTCTGCTAGCCGAGCTAGGTCCGGAAACCTATTCGTATTATTCGAGTCATCTTGACAGGCGCTCTCGGTTTTCTGTACTTAACTTGAGCTATATGACAGCCAGAGAGCTGATACTCACAGAAACCGATTCAGAATCATCAGTCGCGTTCGTCTGAATCCAGAGCTCTGAACTCGGTCTGTTGCCCGATCTAGAATCGCGAAACTATTCGTATTGTTCGAGTCATCTTGAGAGATGCTGTCGGCTCTGTACTTAACTCGGGCTGTAGGGGGGGCTACAGTGCTGGTAGTGACAGGAATCGATTTGGAGACATCAGGCGCGTCCGCCTGTCGAATCGAGAGCTCGGAACTCGGTCTGCTGCCCGAACTAGGTCCGCGAAAGTGTTCGTAGTATTCGAGTCATTCTGAGAGGTGCTGTCGGTTTTCTGAACTTAACTGGGGCTGTAGGGGGGCTGCAGGGCTGTTAATCACAGGAATCCAGTCGGAGACATCAGACGCGTCCGCCTGTCGCATTCAGAGGTCTGAACTCTGTCTGATACTCGAGCTAGGTTTACCAAACTTTTCGTATTGTTCGAGTCATCTTGAGAGGTGCTGTCGATTTACGCACGTAACTCGGGCTGCAGGAGAGCTACAGAGCTCGTGCAGAAGAAAAGCATCGGGGGCGTTTGGCTGTTGCATCGAGAGTCTGAAATCGCTTGGGCTGAAAAACTCTTCGTTCTGTGCAATTTGTTTTCGACATTATATATTGTCAGGAAGCTCTACGAGTCCCCCGGCGGTAAGAAAGGTTGACGGTTTACCGCCGGCGCCCAGTTTTTTTCTGACTTAACTCGAGCTTCAGAGTTCAAGGCACAGCAATTGGAAGCACATTATCAGGCGCACTATTTGATATCTTCACGTTCGGAATCAGTCTTCTATATGAGAAATTTGGCAAGCCGTCTGAACGTCCAAACTCTTGTTCTGAAAATTGCAGACGCTGCGCTCGCTGGTGGAAGGCTGAGGGTTCTAGCTCCACTGGTTCCATCGACTTTGCGTGCAGGAACCATTTTTCAAAAACGTACCAGTTTTCAGTTATTTTGGTTTGTATGGACATGATCAGAGATTTGGCAATTCTTTGAGGGATAAATTTGTCTGCTAACGCAGGATGTGCAGTCGCGTTTGCATGCGAACTATGAGGTCTCTAGCTGCTGTGCTTTTCAGAATACCTCGTAGAGCTCTTCGATATCGATGAGCTAGACGAATTCAGGCGGTGCAGCTAGTTGGCCCACCCGGCCCGGGCGGACAATGTGACAACCTAGCGTGAGTTTTTCGAAGATTATGAGAGATTTGAAAATTCGTTTTGGAAACCACTATTTTTGTAACGTGGATTGGGTTGTGCCACGTTCGTCGGTTCAAATTTCAGGTCTGCAGCTGTAATGTTACTGTCAACAAACGTGGAGGAACCGTTCGCTGTCGGATTTTTGTTTTCCAAATTAATTATGGTCTCGTGCATTTGACAACAGCTTCAAGCAAAATACATGATCCCATTTTTTTGCACGTGTAATAGATTATGACGCGCAATTGAATATCGAGATCTCGAGTTCTACTGTAAACACAGAACTTGATGGAAAATCCTTATACAGTACTGAACTATTATTTCGAATTATTCTGAAGCCACTGTTCACTTGAGCTTTATGCTCGATATTCGAGCACTAATACGTGACTCGAGAGCTCTACGAGGGTCCCGGCGGAACCTGGTTGACGGTTTACCGCCAGCTCCCAGTATGTGTGCACTTTCTGTTGAAGCTTTAAATATTCTTCTTTTTTACAATTCTTCACGCTTCGCGTATCCCCAGCAGCCCATCTCAAAGCAGCAACTCTAGCGAAGCATGCCGACAGTCGTGCTTTTCAGGCGTGTGTCCGCCTGCTACCGCATACCTCCCCTGTTCCTCCTTCCTCCCGCCTCCTTGTACATCCTCCTTGTGGTGGGGGCGGGAGAAGGACGAGGCGGAGGAGGAGGGAGAGAAAGAGCTCCTCGTGGTATCAGTCGTTCGGGCTTCTCGTCCTGGTGTGAGTCGTTCGGGCCCTTCTGATGGGCTTTTCGGCGTCTTGGGTGCCTCGGGGGGCCTCTTCGGGCCGTGGAGCTCTTCGGCGTCGATGAGCTAGAGGAATTCCGGCGCGGGGCGGAGCTCGTTGGCCGACCCGACCAGAAGAGACAATGTGACAACTTCGGTTTTGCTCAGATTTGAAAGATATTTGACAATTCATTTTGAGAAAGCAGATTTTCGCACCTGTGAACGATTATGAGGGCCTCTGCGTCTTAATATGAGCTCTGAAGGCGCACATTTACTATCAAAACACTTGACGGAACCAACTTTTTATCGACATGAAAAAATCACTTTTTCCTTTTTCGCGAAATGCTTCCAGAAGCTCTCTCTGTCGATTCTAAGCACTCTCGCGCGTGAAAGGAGCTCTACGAGGTTCCCGGCGGTGACCGGGTTGCTGCTGTCCCTCCTCGGGGATCTCAGCGGTGGCCTGGCCCGTCGGGGGCTTCCTCAAGCCTGTCTCCTCAGGCTGCCCCCTGGGCGGCCGTGTGCGCGCGGGCGGGCCGTGCAATAAATTCGGGTACTTCGTCGGCTGCGACGACCTTCTCTCCTTGGGCCTACAGACGATAGGTGCTGGAGGCCAGCTCTGTTTGGCATCAGAGGTGGGACTGACTTCAACGCATAGGCCGCTGTCGTCGCTTTGTACTTGTTTGTGCTGCCTGCTTGCGCTTTCTCCATTATTGTTCTTGCACACGTGTGTATGCTTTGACATTGAGGTACTTTGACAGTTCTGTGACATTGGAGTATCTTGAGATTGAGGTTCTCTGCATTGTATCGGCGTGCCTGTTTTCATTCTTTCTTTGAATCGTATCGATCAGCATTCAAGATACCTGAGTGCGTTATCAGACATTCAGTTATGCAGGTGATTCAAGATACTGAGTGCGTTATCAGACATTCAGTTATCCGAGAGTTACTTCTTGAGTGCGTTATCAGACATTCAGTTATCACATAACTATTTGACGTGAGCATACGACTCTTGTCTTACCGCGGGTTGTTACGACATATTTTGGACTTTGTGTTTGCGTTGACTCTTGCCATGCTGTGTGTGTGTCGGACATGCGCGCATGTTGGTATAAGAGCTCCGCGTGATCTTCACTTTGTTCGGAATAAGAGTTTTGCATTTGCCCACTCCCGCTCAAAGAGTGGTGGGTGTCTTGCCTGACTCTGTGCACAGTCGACCGCAAATTCGTTGTGTTTCACGTGCATGGTCTTTCAGTGGTGCTGAGACGGTAATCGCTATATGTGGTTACCGCATGGTCTCGCACTACTTTGAAGTGTACTCGTCATTTTAGTTGTTAGTTTTGTGTTTGTCTCAGTGGTGTTGAGACGGTAATCCCTGTATACACCAGTGGTTACTGTATGGTCTCTCACTGCTTTCATTTTCAGTGGTGCTGAGACGGTAATCGCTATATGTGGTTACTGCATGTTCTCGCATTGCTTTGAAGCGCACTTGCTATTTTAGTTCTCTTAGTTTCGTGTTTGTCTCAGTGGTGTTGAGACGGTAATCGCTGTATAAACCAGTGGTGACTGTATGGTCTCTCACTGCTTCTTTTCTCAGTGGTGCTGAGACGGTAATCGCTGTATGTGGTTACTGCCTGGTCTCGCATTGCTTTTACTATTTATTCCATTTTAGTTGTCTCTTAGTGTGATATACGCTCTTGGGCATTGCTGTACAGCTTCGCTGTTAGTACGCTCAGCGTTTTGCTCTCAGGCTCTGTTCTGAGTTGCTTTGTGTGTTCGGTCTGCCTCCGTGGAGGCTCGAAACGACCGTCCGCAAGAGACCGCAAAAGACCAGGTTGACGGTTCAGCGCCGGCGCCAGTTTGGGATCCTCTTGGGGGCCTCCTGGGGGCCTCTTGGGGCCATCTTGGGGCCTCTTGGTGCCTCCTGGGCGCTTCTTGGGGCCATCTTGGAGGAAATCGATCAAAGAAGAGGGGGGCTTTAATCAACGCTGCCCCCTGAGAAGGCCAAAATGGGGCCAAAACCTTAGTAAAATCAATGATTTTGGCTTGAAAGAAGAGGGGGGCTTTAATTAGCGCTGCCCCCTCAGAAGGCCAAAATGGGGCCAAAACCGTAGTAAAATCAATGGTTTTGGCTTCAAAGAAGAGGGGGGCATTTTTCTGCCCCCCCCGTCGGGGCCAGAATCCGTGAGGGGTGTCGTTTTTTAGCCCTCCCAGGAGTCGAAAAAGACCCCGCCGGCCACCCGCGGAGGCACCTCTCCAGGCCCCCTCCCCGAAGGGGAAGAAGGGGGTTGAGAACAGCGAGAGCTCGCTAAACCACTCGCGCCCAAAGGGCTGGTGGGATTCCAGGGAGCTTACTGCCTGAAATGTAATTGAAGAATGCTGGGTCTCGAAGCGGAGAGTCGAATCTCGGGGAAATCTCACCAAAGCAAAAACAAGAGTTTTGCATTTAGCTTGAAGCCGCTTCCACGTCTTTCACTCGTTATACTATCGCTACCGACCTGGAACATGTATCGGCAGACTGAGTGCCGGCGGTAGACCGTCAACCAGGTTGCCGCCGGGACCTCCGAGAGCTCCTCGCACGCATTACGGTGCTGTCAATGCGGATGCCGCGCTCGCCAGAACGTCTCGGGGAAGTATCTGCAATATTTAATCGATTCACTTCCGGGGGCCGCCCTGAAACATAATTGTCCTACCAATTTTTCATTATTATAGAAATTCCTTAATAATTTGCAGAAATTGAACAATTCGTTCCGAAAAATTCAGGTCCGTAGCTGCAGTATTGCTACAGGAGCACGTCAGAACACACTTCGGATTGAAACCTAAAATGCATTGTCCAGTTTTCGAGCACATACGCGAAGAAACTTCTCCTTGCATTCGGAGCATTGCTACGCGTGTGAGGTGCTCTACGAGGGTCCTGGTTGTAATCTGGTGACGGTTTACCGCCGGCACCCATTTTGCTATCTGGTTTTGGACACTTACAAGTGCGTTCCAATTCTTTCACAGGGGTTTTTATAGTTGTCAAAGATCTTTGAGTAATAGAGCAGCTAGAGACGCAAAAAGTTGCAGTCCACCGCGACAGAAACTACACCAGATGCGAACAAGTTTCAATTTCCAAAAAGTGTTTTATAAACTCAGACAATCTTACCTAGAGCACCTTCAATCTGTTAGTTTTGAGGTCAGCATCTGGGTGTGGATCAATTGAAATATTACAGCTATAGGCCTGAGGTTTTGACCGCTGAACGCATTGTCATCCAATATTCAGTACAAGAATCATAGATTTCAAAACGGAGTTAAATCTTTCAGAATCTTCGAACAGCTGCACCATTTGCTTTCCCCTTGAACTTAAAGGCGGTTCCCCTACGTCTTTTGGTAGTGATACAGCAGCTTCGAACCTGACATATTTTCCTGCAGACTCAGCATATCTTCTTACAGGTAAGAAGAATACGTTTTCTTAAAACGATGTGTCAAATCTCTCACAATCTTCAAAAATCCGACCCGAAATTCACGCATTCTCCGCCCTGGCTGGGTCGGTCACATAGCTCCAACTCGCCGGAATTCCTCTAGCTCATCGTACCGAAGAGCTCTAGGAGAAATGATCTCGATGCAGAGCTGCTACGAAGCATACTGAGTGATTCAGCAGCATCAAAGGCGTAGGTTCAGAGCGAGGCCTGGGCGCGATGCCCTATCCGACGAACATTTTTTCGCATTGCAGATTTTTTCCTTGGCATGCGCTAGCCTCAAGGACGCAGTTTCCAGATTCAGTGCAGCTGCAGAGTTCCCAGCCACCAGCCGGTCGAGCAGAGGTCGGTCTGCTACCTGCGTTATGACGGGAAGTCTACCCGCGCTCTGGGTTTTTAGGCTTCGATTCAGAGAGTTGTGTACAGTCTCGGGAGGCCTGAGCTCGGTCTCGATCCCGAGCTATGACCATGATTTGCAGTCTGGAATACTGTTGTATTGCGCGTTGGGTTTAGAACTTTGTATAGGAGCATGCTTCTAAGGTTCTTGCGCAACCCCAAGGCAGCTCCTAAGCTCCCTATGAGTGCGCGTAGCTGTGGATCGTGGACGGCGCCTCCCGCATCCTGGGCTCGCGCGCAGATCTCAGGAAGCACTTCTGGGCGCGTTTGTGGTAGTTGGGCAGCCCTCGCTCAGAGAGGGCTTTGTTGGCTCGTGCGCTGTGCGCGCCTGCGCGGTCTCGCGGATTCCGCGCGCCCGCGCCCGCGCGTCAGCGTGCTGGGTTTTCGAGAGATCCGGAGGGTTCTGGAGAAAGGAGGCTAGATCGGCTCGATTACCGCGTCTGTAGGGCAAGCGCCGCTCGTTGCTGCAGGGTGCGTGTTGTCTTGATAGCGCGATCCGGGTTGTTTCCAATCCATGCGTTGATCGCGCTGGCGCAGATATGAGGCCGCGTCCTATAGGCTTGCGCGCGGCAACCACTCTGGGGCACGTGAAAACTGTTCAGACTGCCTCAGGGAAGTGCGTCCTCTCCTCGCGCGCAGCTCCTCGACTTCAAGGGTTTTGCGGTCCTTGGGCCCACCGAGCCCAGACAGTCCAGGCAACATTTCCTGGCCCCGTTCGTGACTTCAGGCGCCCCCCCAGGAAGCGTGTCGTGGGGGTGCGTGCTAGGCGCGCGCCCGCGTGCCTGCGCGCTGGCGTATTCCTGCGTTCCGTTTGCCTTCTTTTCCGAACGGGCTCGTCCGCGCGCCCGCGTGCGTGCGCGCCCGCCCGCGCGCGCCGCCGCTCGCGCCCGCGTACCTGGGCGCGCGCCCGCGCGCGCGGCCCGCGCGCTCGCGCGGCAGTGCGTTGGCGTGCCTCGCCGTCCCGTCTGCGCGGCCGTGCGCCTGCGCTCCTTGCGCTCCGTGTTTGTGACAACGATTGCGCTGTGACGTCGGTGGCAATCCTGTCCGGTTTTGGGTTTTCATATCATGTGTTAAGGAAAGGATTGCCCCGACCAGGATTGGCTTGATGGGTTTCGGCCAGGAGGGTTTGCCGGGTCATGGGGGGTTTCCTTCGGGGGTTGGCTTGGCTTGACGTTGCATTGGGAAGTTAGCGCCGCCGTTTCCCCCCCCCCTCCCCTTCCCGAAAGGCGCCCAAGGGGTCAAACCGAGGAAGTCCAGGGGGGTGGCCACGGGGTCTGATGAGGGTTGGTTAGATGTTGGCTGGGCTGGAAGAAGGAGGCAACTTATGGAACTTACGAGGAGGGAGAGGGAAGCAGGGTGGATGTGGGGTTCTACGAGTGTGCTGGTTCGCTTACGGCGCACATCGCTGCGCCGGCGATTCTTGCAAGGATTTCTCGAACTACTTTTTCGTGGTGTGACGTAGTGCGTTGTGCGATCGTCCTACTGCCAGCGGTGCTTCTGACATGATGGGAAGTTCTGTCCGAATCTGATGGCTCGTTGCCGTACCGTGGGCGTTCTTCTGATGATTGGCCTCCCGCTACGCGTCCCGTGCCTCTCCCCCCATGTTCCAGTGCCCATCCCGTGAGTTTCTTGAACGTGACGGCTGATTTCCATTGCGCCTAAAGCTCCAGGCGTTGTTGCCACGACGCGCGCTCAATGGGTGCCAGCTCGGAGGAAACCCGCATCCAAATGCGCAAGTTGCGGGTGGGAAATTCACTGCGAGCATGCTGTGTGGGCTTGTTCTGGATATCGGTGTGGCCGTCGTCCTCCTTGTCTTATTCCCAGTGCGCGGTTTCGCGGGCGCCGCCCGTCGCATCGGTGGCGTCGGCGACAGGACGAGTTCTCTGCGCGAGCCGGCTGGCGAGAAGTGCGTTTCGCATGGCCGGCGCTTCTGCTAAACATTTTGCTGAAAGGCTTACTTCAGGCGCGCCCACCCGCACCTCGTGATCATCGCGCTGCCGACGCTGATGCGAGGACGACGCATTCAAATCGTGATGGTTCGCAGGCGCCGCGCATTGCATGGCCAGCGTTGTCTGCAAGAAGCTCTTTCAGAGCGTGCTTCTTCCCCTACGGTGCATCTCGCGTGGCCAGCACTGCTGCCATCCATTTTGCCGATAAGTTCGCTCCAGACGTGCCCGCGCGCACGCGATGGACATCGTGCTGCCAGCGCTGATGCCAGGAAACGCATTCAAATCGCGCCGATTTGCAGGCCTCCCACATCATATTGTCAGCGTTGTCGGCAAAGCTTTTTCTGAACGTGCCGGCTTGCTTATGGCTCGCATCGCCTAACCAAATTTTTTTGCCTAACAAATTCATGCGTGCCCGCTCGTACGCGATGGTCATCGCATTGCCAGCGCTGATACTTGGGAGTTTAGTCCAAGCGTGCCCGCTTGCCTCCAGCACGCCTTGCGTTGCTTGGAAAGGTTGGCTGGAGTTGGCTTTCGGTTGGCGACGGCAATTCTTAGATACTCATTTCTTTCCAGCGCATATAGTGCACAAGTTCCTGGATAGTTCTCTGGGAGAGCTGGAAGGGTTCCAGAAAAGAAACCAGCAGGATGCGCCAGGCCAGCTTCCTCTCCAAGGCTGCCAGGCAGGCAGCGCCGCGCCGCTTTGCTGGAACATGCGTCCAGTCCCGCAAGCGCTCCCCCACCCGTTCCCGCTGCGCGAGCCCGTAACCGTGTGCGCATGTCCGCGCTCATGCTTCTTGGGCTCGTGCGCAGCCCCGATGCAGCTCCTGGGCATCGCTTCCAAGGCTCGCGCGAAGTGCCTCTGCAGCGCCTGTGCAGGGCTTTCTGGATTCTCGCGCAGCGTCGTGGCGGCGGTTTTCTGGGCCCGTGCGCAGCCTCTCGTGGGGCCTGCCTCCGCCCGCGTGCCCGCAGCTTGCTGCGGCGGCCACTTCAGCCCCCCGGCAGGGGGATGGCCTTTCAGTCAATGCCTCATTGGACTGCCGAGTCACCCCACCCACAACCTGCTGCTGTCCGCAGTACTTCGACCAGTATGTCGACCTCCCCCATACTCGGTTGCGGTCATCCACGTTCGTGTTACCGTCTGTGGACCTTCCTCGCGTCCATCACCCCTCACCGACCAGGCGGGCTGATCTTTTACCTGTCTTTGCCTGTCTGTTGATCCGCTACGTCCACCTGGGTCTAATTTGTCGGCCAGTGAGCCCGCCTTAGTTGTTTGGTTACTGGGGTTCTTGAAATTTTTTGTGTGCCATCTGAATGCTGCGAGCCCCGTCGCTTAGAGCCTGGCCAATGTGAAAGAAGAATAAGAAGGATGATGAGGGTGAGGATGAGGATGAGGATAAGGATGATGCTGATGCTGATGATGCTGATGATGCTGATGATGATGCTGATGATGCTGATGATGCTGATGATGCTGATGCTGATGATGATGCTGATGATGCTGATAATGATGATGATGCTGATGACAGTGATGATGATGATGCTGATGATGATGATGATGATACTGATGATGCTGATGATGATGCTGATGATGCTGATGATGCTGATGATGCTGATGCTGATGATGATGCTGATGACGCTGATGATGATGATGATGATGATGATGATGATGATGATGATGATGATGGTGCTGATGATGACGATGACGATGCCGATGATGGTGATGCTGATGATGACGATGATGATGATGATGCTGATGATGATGCTGATGATGATGCTGATGGTTCTGATGATGATGATGATGATGATGATGCTGCTGATGATGATGATGATGATGATGATGATGATGATGATGATGATGATGATGATGCTGATGATGATGATGATGATACTGCTGTTGCTGCTGCTGCTGCTGATGATGATGATGATGATGATGAGGATGATGATGATGATGATGATGATGATGATGATGATGATGATGATGATGATGATGATGATGATGATGATGATGATGATGATGAGGATGAGGAGGATGAGGAGGATGAGGAGGAGGAGGAGGAGGAGGAGAGGAGGAGGAGGAGGAGGGAGGAGGAGGAGGAGGAGGCGGAGGAGGAGGAGGAGGAGGAGGAGGAGGAGGAGGAGGCGGAGGCATGAGTGTAGCAACAACCGCACTCTGGATGCGGGTGGTGGTGTCACGGGCTGGCCTTCATACCCCGCAGGGCGGGCCAAAAGGGCGCTGTCCCGCACATCTGGGACGAACGCGGGGCTCGTTGGGATCCTGGAAGTCCGAGCGGCGGCACGCCCATGGCGGAGTCGAGAGAGGGCAGGACTTCCCAGAAGGCGGCGGGGCTTCTCATCATTTTCCGCTCCCTGAGGAGCCTAGCAAGCCCTGTCCGAAGCCGCATTCGGCTTCTCGGAAGACGCGAGGGCTTCTGAGAACCCCCTGTTGCCTTTGAGAAGGCCTGCCTCGTTTCACTCTCCTCTGGGCTTGCCGCCGATCCCGAGGCTCGCACCTGGTCCTCCGGACAGGCCACGCGACGAAGTCCAGGAAGGCCCACGAACACCGTCCGTGCAGTGCGCATGATTGGGTGTTCGCCATGCCTTCGGCATGTTTTTCTCCACATGTGTCGCCTGTTTTTAAGATGGCCATCGGCATTTATTCATGGCCCATTTCTGCAAAGGTGTCACGGGTCTCGCGTTTTTCCTTGGGTTTGCCACCGTAGCAGAGGTAATCACGATGTCCAGTAGATGTCTCTTTCCAGTACTCGGATTGCCAGAGTGGTCCTAGTATTACCTCTTGCGGCTTCAGGGGGCAATGTTGTTGTGCCACCTGTTGCTGTCAGGCTGCCAAGTTTGAGGCATGCAATCAGGATGAGCAGGGCAGAAGAAACGATAGTCAGGGGATGATGAGGTGAGCTTAGCTTGCGGTTTGATCCCACTGTGGCTTTTGCTCCATAGTAAGATGGCAGGCTGACTTGTTGGGCCGAGCGCCGCCTCAGCAGGGCGACGATGCAAGGGTTGGGCGGCACAGGGGCTCAACAGTCGAAGGACGCCGCGACTGTGGCATCCTGCTTCGGTTCGACTCGCCAGAAGTGTCATCGTTGTTGCCTCGTTGTCGGCATCGTGCTCCTGCCCCATGTCTTGTCTGGCACTCTTCGCGCGTTACCCGTTGCCCTGTCCCGCTCTCCGCGGACGCCCCGGTGCCACTGTCAGTCTTCCCTCCCTCCTCTCGTTCACGACGCGTCTGGTGGTCGCCTTTTCTTTCTCATTGTCCCGTCGTGTTACATTCTTCTTCACTTTATTCATCTTCTTGCTCTCCTTGTCCTTCTTCTTCTTTCAGCTTCTTATCGACTATTCTATTGTAGAGGCCTCCGGCCAGTGCCGCCGATCCGGGACGATCCCGCTGTCAGAAGGACGCTTTCGCCCCAGCGCGCTTGTTCAAACGTAAGTGGTTTGGAAACAGCTTGGAGGCATTGCGTGGGCTTCTTGCGGGGCCTCTACGACGCATCTTCGAGGCCTCCGGGGGGGGCGTCTTGGAGGTGATTGTTGAGCCTCTTGGGGGCCTTTTGGGCTTCTTGGGGGGCATGCAGGAGGCATCCTGGAGGCCTCCCGGGGGTGTATAGGAGGTAATTTGGAAGCCTTCGGTAGTGCTTTTGGGCGCCTTTTGGGGGCCTCTTGAGCGCCACTTGGAGCCTCTCGGGGTTTCTTGGGGACTCCTAGGGCCATTTTGGTGCCTCCTGGGCGCCTCTTGGGCCGTCTTGGGCCTTCTGGGGCAGTCATGGAGCCCTATTGGGCGCTCCTTCGCCCGTCCTGGGGCCCGCTTTGGCTGTCTTGGGGGCCTCCCGGGCCGTCTTGGGCCCTTCTTGAGCGAGCCTCTGGGCCTGTTTTGGGGGTCTCTTGGGCCGTGTTGGACACTGCGAAGGCCGAAGAAGCGAAAATGCAAAAATTGTTCGTTTTCCTAGGGGAATGGGACAGATTTTCGGTCTTTGGGCACTCTTAGGAGGTGTCGGGAGGATACGTTGGAGGCTTCTGGAGCCGTTTGAGGAATATATTGAGTGTCTTGGAGCGATGTTCGGCTACTCATGGCCCTCTTGGACCGTATGGGCGGCCGCTGGGTTTTTTATGAGCCCGCGTTCGAACTCTCCGGGGCGAGGGGCCGACCCGGAGTGAGCTGGAGCTCCGATTTTGCCACCAAAATTGACTCGACCCCCCCCCCCTACCCCAGCAGAGCCACCCTGGCACCCACCCCCCCAGCAGAGCTGAAGCTCAAGAAATGAGGCTCAGGCTATATCTGAGGGTCTTTGAAACTCACACGCCAGATCGGCGGATTTTCGTCATCTACCCTTCTGCTTGTTATCCCTCCCATCCTCCTGTCCTCTCCTTTCCCACCCTCGCTTCCCTCCTTCCTCCTCTTTTCTGCTGGTGCTGCTGATCCCCTTTCTCTCCTTCTCCTCGCCTTCTTTCCCCTCTTCCCCCTGTTTTCTGTTTGCGTTGCAACTGAACGTTCGTCGCCTGTGAGATGGGAGCCTGTCATGAACACACATGGCCTCAAGGCACACGATGTCACACCCCTGTGCACACACGTGTGCGTTCCGGTGTTCACGCTTCGCGTATCCCCACCAACCCATCCAGAAAGGATGCCCAGGCAAGTTGCACTCATGATGGGCAGATGTGAGGATGTGGTGGAAGAAAGAGGGGAAGCAGCCGCCACATCGAAGCTTGGGACCTGCCTTAGCAGAAGCGGGTTCATCTCAGGAAGACCGTCGCGCATCGCTCGATCTCGGTTCAAAGAGCGCCCAACAAATCCCACGAGAACTCCAATATAGCCTCAATGGTCGATAATTCCTGCATTCTTCCATTGGACATGTCGGCAGTTCTTAGCGAAGCTTTCGGGAATTATCGACACTAGTAGGGATTATCTGGAGGATGTCGATCAGGGACAGGGGGGTTCCCACTTCGTGTTGCCCCTAATGAGCCCGACACGTCGTCTCTTGTGGTCCTCTGAGGATGCCCACGGGGCGGGCTTGGAAATCTTGCGGCCGTTTATGTTGGGCCATCCAGCATTGCTTTCGTGGTTTCGATGCCTGAGCTGTTCCTGGCCCTCTTGGGACCCCCCTAGACTAAAGTCGGGCGTGTCGCTCTACAGGAGGTATAGCCAAGAACAGTCAGAAAATAGTCCGGAGACGATGTCCTGTTGACTCCTTTCGAGTATTTTTTTCTGACCATTTTGGTGTTTTCTTCCAGAATCCGCCTGTCGGAGGATGTGCCCGACCTAATCCTCCGAGAAATCGAATTGAAGCCGAGCAAAATTATGCAAAACTCCCGTCGAGATTTTTTTGCCAACTGGGAGCCGGCGGTATATAACCCGTCCACCTTGGTTACCGCCAGGAACTCGCAGAGCTTCCTCGTGCAGTGCGGGCGCGGCAATCTCGCACTCCGCGCGAGCGAGGGCAGACCAGCGGGCCCACTTGGGCTCGGCGCTCACCCGGCAGCAAGGGCTCGGCGCCCCTCCCGTGGCCGGCCCATCCGCTCTCATCCCCGCCGCAGCGCTCCGCCCCGCCCCCCCCCCGGGAGGACTGCTCCTTCCCGGCCGGCACCGTGGGCGGCGCGCCCCTGAAGATCAGCTGGTGCCCCCCCCGCCCGGGCCGGTGTCTTCCTCCTCCTCCTCCGCCTCCTCCTCCGCCTCCTCCTCCGCCTCCTCCTCCTCCTCCGCCTCCTCCTCCTCCTCCGCCTCCTCCGCCTCCTCCTCCGCCTCCTCCTCCTGCTCCAGAGGCAGCGCCAGGGGGGCGCTGAGCTCAGGTAGGGCTGCGTCGACCTCGCAAATCGCGCCCATTCGTCGCCGAGATGGGGGCCCGACAGTCCACCCCGCCCGTGCCGTCGGAGACCTATCGTTCACCGCCCACCAAATCACCCCAACGCAACCCGAAGGCACCGAATTGCCCTCCATTTCCAGTGGGGGGGGGTTGGGGAACATATGAAAAAAACATTATGAAGCCCGTGCCCCCCCCCCCGCTGGGTTGGGTTGGGGTGGTCTGGTAGGTAGTCAATGGTGGATCCATCCGCGGTGCATCGCCGAGTCCAGGTCGACGTCTCCCTCCCCCCTTTCTCGTCTCGGGGCCAGTCCTCCTCTGCCGATGCCCCCTCGGCTCGGCTGGACGGCGAACACTAGGCTTCGGACGTTCTCGCTGGTTTTTCTGGAGGTCGTCATCGGTTCCTGGAGGTTCTCCTGCGTCGTGACGCGTTCCAGCAGCAGCGCCTCGCCGAACGCATTCTAGTGGTGCCCGAGTCGTCCAGAGCGGCCGCTGGAGACCTGAGTTATGGTCCGAAAGCTAATGCAGCGAAAGAGGGATGGCTGGCGATTGACGCTCTGTTCGTGCCCCTGCCGCTGCCTCGAGCGCTGGATGCTTCGGCGGTTGGGCATCGACAAGGAATGTATGACTTTCAGCCATGCGCTCCTTCTGGCCTCTCGTCGAGTTGGCGCGCGAGCAGGGGCATGGATAAGGCGTCGATCGCATAGACTGCGACAGGGGAAGGGGCGGATCAGGATGGAAGTGGGAAGGGATTCCACGCTCAGCAGGGACGAGGCCTCGTGGTCAGCAGTCAGGCCACACTTCCGTCCCCTTCGACCCTCTCTTCTCTACAGACATTTGCATGCTGCACTGCTTTGGATCTTCGGGCAGAAAACTTCCCCCAGGATCACGTGTATTGGACCCTGAGTTGCGGTGCGTTCATGTCATGCTTTGGTTGTCGTGCCATAGCGTCTCTTTCGGCCTCTGTGAATACCATTTCGGGGTCCCTTTTGATCCGAGCGATCCGATTCGATATCAGTTTCGCCTGGCTCGATCCGATTCGATTCCAAGCTTTCGACGATCCGATATTTCCCGATGCTTCCATGGCGCTGGTGTGCATCTTGGCGCCGCCGATTCGAGTCGATTCCGACTCCGTGCCGTCCGTCTCGATCCGATTAATGTTTCGATCCGACCCGATTTGTCGATCCGATGTTTTCCTCTCCTGCACTGGACGGTGGAGCAGGAACGTGTCGGCAGAGGCTTCCACTTTACTCGGCGGAGAGTGCGGGGGGAAGTTAGAAGGTGCGGGCCTTCTCAGAAGGCTCGGAGGTCCCCGGGCCTTCTGAGACGTTTTCTCAGCCTTGCCCGAAGACGCAGAAAACTTCGCAGAAGGCTGGAAGGCTTCTGACAAGCCCCGCCGCCTTCTGAGAAGGTCTTCTCCTGCTCACTTCCCCCCTTGCTCGCCGCCGATTCACTTCCCTCCCTGTTGCGTCCCCTTTCTGCCTGCCTGCCTGCCTGTGTATGGGGTGCCTCACGCGCCTCTGCCTCCGCTTCCTCGAGTGCCCCCCCTCTCTCCTGGTGCCCGACGTGCACCAGGCCAGAGGCCCCGTTCGGGGGCCAGTGGAGCGAACCAGCGGCTTCATGTGATCTCTGGGACACCTCGCCCCCAGGAAGTGGGTGGCGAGACCACAGTTTGTGGGCGCCAACTGCACATCATCGTCGATCTTTTGCTGACCCATTCTGGGTCCATCCAGGAGGGGGTACGCACCGATCCTGATCGCAGTATGGGCCTGGCCAGGATCGGTGTAGGCGTACATCGAGGAAACAACATCGACGTTAGCAGAGACTTCGAAGGTTTGGTGGGTATTTTGGGTCGTCGCTGGACACCCCTTCCCTGGCTTGCGAAGCGGGCCGTGGGCGGCGCCAGAGGGGCCGCCATGGTTGGCCCCGAGCAGACCCAAGAACTCCACACGAGCCTCCGAAAGGTTATATTCTAGACGCTTCGCATAACCCCACCACCCGTCCATCCAGAAACGAAGCCCAGGCGAGTTGCCCTGATCAGGGATGTGGAGGAGCATGCAGTGGAATGAAGGGCTGGGGAAGTCGTCACACCCAAAGACGGGGAGGATGGAGGAGCAATTGGCGGAGGAGGAGAAAGAGGAGGAGGAGGAGGAGGAGGAGGAGGAGAGGAGGAGGAGGAGGAGGAGGAGGAGAGGAGGAGGAGAGGAGGAGGAGGAGGAGGAGGAGGAGGAGGAGGAGGAGGGGAGGAGGAGGAGGAGGAGGAGGGAGGAGGAGGAGGAGGAGGAGAGGAGGAGGAGGAGGAGGAGGAGGAGGAGGAGGAGGAGGAGGAGGAGGAAGGAGGAGGAGGAGGCGGAGGAGGAGGAGGAGGAGGAGGGAGGAGAGGAGGAGGAGGAGGAGGAGGAGGAGGAGGAGGAGGAGGAGGAGGAGGAGGAGGAGGAGGAGGAGGAGGAGGAGGAGGAGGAGGAGGAGGAGGAGGAGGAGGAGGAGGAGGAGGAGGAGGAGGAGGAGGAGGAGGAGGAGAGGAGGCGCAGGAGGAGGAGGAGGAGGAGGAGGAGGAGGAGGAGGAGGAGGAGGAGGAGGAGGAGGAGGAGGAGGAGGAGGAGGAGGAGGCGGTCCTGGTGGCCTCTTGCAACGTCCTTGGTGCCTCGGGGTAGCCTCTTGGGGCCTCTTGGTGGTCTCCTGGTCTCGGGGTCTCGTGGGCGCCTGTGGGGGTCCTCGTGGGACACTCTTGGGAGCCTTGGGGGCCATCTTGGGGCCACCTTGGAGCAGTTCGACCAAAGAAGGGGGTGTCCTTAAGTGGCCCTCCCTTGAGGCCGAAATCTGTCCAACACCTAAGTGAATTCAATCAGTTTTGCCTTCTAGCCGGTGCCTTGTTGGACGCTCTAGCTACCCGCGGCGGACCTTGTCTAGGTCCAGGGGAGAGGGTAGGCTGAGGGTAAAGACAACCTCTCCGCCCGCAAGCTGTCTCGCTCACGCCTACCCGCCCTCCCAACACATAAGTAGCACCCGGGCCTCAGCATGTTCAGCTCTCGTCTATGGATGGGCAGCTACTGGGAACCAACACAGACCCCATGTACGCGTCGCTGAGGCGAGGTGCGCCGCGAGTGCCAGGCGCGCTGGGTGCGCCAGGCACCCTTGGGGTCCAAGCGCGCCAGGCACGGCCTGGCGCGCCAGATGCGCTACGTGCTCCACGAGCGCCATGTTTGCCGCATGCTCCTGCCGCGCCAGGTGCGCCTCTCTCGGGGCGCGCGCAGAGTGTGCCAGGTGTGGTGCGCCCTCGCACCTGACAGCACACATCCTTCTCGAAAACCAATGCGCAATCGAGGCGGGGAGGCCATCATGGTGGCAGGTGGGCCTGCACACAGCAGGCAATACGCCAGCCCCCCCGTCGTCTCTGTCAAACAACCAATGGACAGTGATCGCGGAGGCCGTGCATGATCTAGATGCAGCCGCGAAGCGGACTTGGTATTTTTTGGTAGGAATGAGAACGCTGCGCACAGCAGGTAATATGAGGACCCTCCCGCCGTCCCTGTCAACAAACAATACAGTATGCTCGCGGCGCCCACGAGCATGACCCACGATTTTGCCACAACATGTATTGGGTACGTATGGTTCTTTGGCAGGGATGGTAGGGGTGGGGATGTCGTCATTGATTCGGGTTGGCTGCCGGTCGACTGGAGGAGGGGGTGTTTATTTATAGGATTGATAAGCCCCTCCCCGAAGAGGAAGCGGGAAGATGGAAGATGACACTTTATAAATAAACCACTCACGCCCAGAGGGCTGGCGGGATTCATGCCGTTCTTCACTCCTCTGGCCTGGCTGACGTCATATCTGTGGCTCCTTCAAGAGATGGGTCACCCCCAGGGGCGCGAACACAATCGCGCTTTGCTCGTTGCGGCGTCGGCCAAAGAGATGCCCTTCTTCAACGTGCCATCGAGAGGGCACGGAGATGACCCGCGAGACAGCCACGTCGTAGAGACTCCGCAGAAGCGCGGTGCTGGACCCACGGGCCCTGGCCTCCCTCCCGTGGGCCGACCGCGGGCGCCCAGGGATCGAGAAGTCGGGCAACCGTGTCAGGCAGGCTTCCTCGACGCATTTTCTGGGGAAGTACTGCGCCTCATCCCGCAGCGCAAGCCACAGAGGGAGGCTGGCTGTACACCAGCACCGATCCTGGCCGAGTCGAACCTCGGCTCCGGCTTGGTGCCTGCGCATTCCTCGCCAGGAGGGCCTTTGCACCGATCCTGGGCCCAGGTTCGACCTGGCCGGGATCGGTGTAGGTGTATAGTTGGCGCACTCTTTGAGACAGGGCAGAAACATGGACATTCGGAGTACATTCGGAGGTTCTGCGGATCTCATGGGCCGGCGCTGGGCTTCCTCTGTCGACGCTTTCTCGCCGACCCCAAAAGTCTGCACGGAGCTCCCTTTGTAGTATGGTTATTTTGTTTTATTGTGTTCTCGAAGTGTCAGATGCAGAATCGGGCTACGTCGTTTCGTTTCGACCTTCCAGCTTGTGGTGTCAGGGTCCACTTGTGGTCTTACGAGTTTCTCGCTGTCTGTCGCAGAGCTCGCTCCGCCCGACTCTGTGGACGAGGGGCAGCCATGGATCTGTATGGAAAGTGGCTGCCATCTGCTCATCTTGCTGCAAGTGTGCTTGGTGTGAGTGCAGGTTCCTGGTGATTTTCTTTGTCTATCAGCTGATCGATGCAGCAAACGCCAAGGGAGCTCCGATCTGGGTCGCGCCTGCATGATTACCCCTCCGAATGTATGCTTTGTCGTTTAATCCATTGCCAATCTCTCCTTTTGTGCATGACGCTTCTAGTCTACACACTTGCAGTCCGCTGCGAACCTCTACAAGCGCATGGTTATGGATCGCGCGTGCCAAGCTGTAGTTTTGTGGGTAGCGGTGCGGACGATGTCCTGGCGCCGTCAACCAGTGTGTGTGTGTGTGTGTGTGTGTGTGTGTGTGTGTGTGTGCGTGCGTGCGTGCGTGCGTGCGTGCGTGCGCGCGCGCGCGCGCGCGTGTGTGTGTGTGTGTGTGTGTGTGTGTGTGTGTGTGTGTGTGTGTGTGTGTGTGTGTGTGTGTGTGTGTGTTTGTGTGTGTGTGTGTGTTTGTTTGTGTGTGTGTGTGTGTGTGAGTGTGTGTGTGTGTGTAGCGGGGCCCTTTCAGGACCTTTCTTAACCCAGTCGCCCTCCCCCTCGCTCCAAGCGTTAGACAGGAGCCCCGCTATCTGTCCGCATTTGGCGCTGTTATTGTTCTCCACCCTGCATCCCCCTTGGGGGTCTCGCGGGACCTCCGCGTCGCCCGCCTCCTGTTGGACTCGGCCTCCCGTCTTGGATGCCAGCTGGGTTCGCTCCCCTCTGCGTCGGTGTCGCTGTCGGGTACCGCCGTCTCAGTCTTCGGACGCTGTCTCAATGTTCTCACTCCCCACCACGCCTGGGTGGGTCTGGTCGGCCGATCCAGCGTGGGCCCGCGTCTGAGGGCCCGGCCGCTTGCGCTCGCTCGCCTCCGTCTGCTCGACTGTCTCCGCCTCGTCGTTGCGCGCGAGGTCGCGACCGCCCAGATGTGTTGTGTGTGTGTGTGTGTGTGTTTGTTTGTTTGTTTGTTTGTTTGTTTGTTTGTTTGTTTATTCGTTGTGTGTGTGTGTGTGTGTGTGTGTGTCCGGCCCGGCCCAGGTGCTCGGCCACCATACTGCCATGGGCACAGCCACAAGGAGATGGGTCCCCTCCTTTTTTCCTACGGGCCTCGGATTGTTTTCGAGGTCATTGGAACAGCAAGATGCCCCGTCGCGTAAGTACGAGGAGTCGCGGCCGCGGCTGCGTGGCGTCAAGATGTTCGCCCCCCCCCCCCCCCCCCCCACATGCGACGGGCATTGCCACAGCGGGCCGCGATCCAGTGGGCATAGGGTTACGCCCACCTCCAGGACGACAGTGAAAACTGGGTTGTGTCGCTTGGTAGAGCGGCGCGCGCTCTGACGAGGGTGTGCGAAGGACGAGCTACTACCCGACAGCCGGTCAACCGCGCCCTATATGCTTCATCTTGGGGACATCCTACCAATCCAAGGCGCCGCAATGGATGAGCGATCGCTCGAGCGGACGTGGCTGGGCTCTTGGCGACGGACAGGCATGGGCACGGCTACGACCGTCGTGTGGCTTTACCGCTGCGTATCATGTGACGCGGCTCTTGACGCGCCCCGTCGAGGGCGCGGAGCCGTGTTCAACATGACCGCACCCCACGCGAAAAGGTAAGGTGCCGTGGGCGGGTGGTCCACCTATGAGGCTTCGACATCGTGTGCAGAGGGCCACGCCTGGCATGGCGGTGGCCTCGGACCGTGGCATCGGAACATGGGCAAGTGTGCCCTCCTCCCCCGCATGGCACTGCCCGAGCAACTGCGTGACGAGGCGGAGGCTAAGTACACAGCCATGTAGCAGGACGTTGGGCCCATCCCGCTCCCTTTCCTGATCGAGCCCTGTCCCTTATGCGGACTTGTAGGTAGAAGCAGGCGCACAGCACCCATGGGCCTGGTGCCCTGCGGTGGCGCTGGCCTGGATGCCGATGCGCCCAAGGGATTGTCAAGCTCCATTCGGCCTCGGCGAATGCCTGCTCAACAGGCGGCACCACATCGACCTCTTCATTCACTTTGCGTATCAGGTAGTTTATCGACATATCGTTGGGATTGGTGCGCCACCACTCACACCCACCGATGATGCAAGGGATATCCTTGCGGGCCTCATCGCTCAGGCAGACGAACAAGTTTACCTTGATCCAGGAGAGCGCCTCCTGCGGAGGTCAGCTGGCGTCGAAGACGTGTGGGAACGCGTGCATACTGCATGCGCTTCACGCGCGCCATCTATCGCCGATCCAAGGCACCTTCATTGTTCGGCGCGTCCTGCCATGACACGCAGCGCGGAAACAGGCGCGGGGCAATTGGGAAGGTGCGTGGTTGCTGGATGGCTCTGCGAGACAGGGCGCCCCGTGCTACGCGCGCGGGGGATGGCTGCTGGCGGGCCCTGGGTGGGTTCCCGCGCCACGGGCCTTCCGCGAGGGGGTGAGCGCCGAATGGCGTCCATTTTCTCGCGGCACATGCGAGCATCGCAGGTTGGATCTGATCCCCAAACATTCAATCACCCAAGGAGAAGAGGCGGCGGTGCCGCGTTCGCCTTCTCCAGGCGCCGACCCCGCTTGGTGGCCGTGCGCGCCCGCCTTTGACGGTGGAGCCCGTCAACTAGGAGGGGGGCGAAAAGTGCGGGGGCCTCCCTTTGGCGCCGCCCTGCGGACGGGGCCCCGCTCATTTTGGTCGCATCCGCGGGCGTGGCGCTTCCGGGTGAAGACGGCCCGCAGACGGCGGAGGCCGCCGGCTGCCGCGCAGCGTTGCGCCTCTGGAGCCAGGCGGGGCTACCGGGGAGAGTGGCCCGATGCGTAGGGGATGACTTGGCCGTCTCGCTGCGCGGCGCCGGGACTGGTCGGGTCCGGAGACTGCGGCTACGGGCGCAGACGGAGCAGGCGCCCGCGCCCCTCCCGGCGCGGGGCTCTGCGTTGGAGGGGCTTGCTGCGCGGCGCTGGCGTAGGAAAGCTGCGGACAGGCTGGCTACCGCGGAGGCCTTCTGCGCTGGGCGTCCTCGGCGACGAGGGGCGGGCCGCCGCGCGGTTTGGCATCGAAGGTTGGCCCCGGCCACGCCTGCCCGGTCCAAGTTTTGAAGCTGCAACACTCGAGCCCGCCGCGCTTGCGGACGCTGTTGACGCGCTCGAGGACCTCGCCCGCGCGCGACGAGGTGGCAGATAATTGGCCCTGCGGCCGGCATTTGGCCTCCCCCCCGCGAAGGCTCTAGAAAGCCTGCGGCGGGCGGCTGGCTTGCCCTCCCCGTTCTTGGGCTGCGTGGTCTTATGTGTGGTCTGTTGCCTGGCGCGTGGTGGGTTCCGATGCGGTTGACTCGCGCATTATACGTAGTGCATCCTCCTCCTGTTGGGTGGGGGGTTCCTGTTTGTTTTTTTGTGGCAAGGATCGCGTGCCGCCCGTTTGGCGCTGTCGGTGCCGCGCGGTTGGGGGGCTCTTGTGGCGCGCATTGTGCGCGCATGCCTGGCTATAAAGACAGGGGACTATCTTGTGCGCTACCGTGGCCTCCTTTTGGCTCGGTAGCCGCTGCGCAAGCCGCGGCCCCCGCCCACTGGTGCCGGTCACCGCCGTTTCTCATTCCTCACCAATCGGGCCAAGTGTAGGCCGCCATGGCTCCCTTGGCCAAGAGGCGGGGGAAGGGGTGCGTTCGGCTGGCTAGATGGCCGCGCGAACATGTTCGCGATGACCCCCCCAGGACCGACAATGGCTCTGCCGAGGTCTGGCTGATGCGCTGTCAAGCGGCCCGCGGGACTCAGCTACGTGGCCCCCCTCCAGACTTGGACGTGGTGTGGCATTGGGCCCGCGACCTTTGCCGCGACGTCAGATGAGGGGCGCCGCTGCCAGAGGAGTTAGTGGGGGCAGTCGTCATGCCTTTCCCGCGCGTCCCATTCGCTGCCCGATCCCGCGCAGTTCGATGGCGCCGCGTCGGCATTTGGACCCGATGGCCAACTCGTACCTGCTGCCCCGGGGAATGGCAGGTGCGCCTGTGTCCCGAATTTGCGGTGCTCGGGGGTCCAGAGGCGGCCGTAGCTTGGAGTGGCAAGGCTATTTTCCACGTGCCACGTGTCTGGCCAGCCACTGGACTTTCACGATGGCATTGCCGGGCTGGCCAGCGGCGCCGCCCAGAGACAGCTTGGACGCTGGCCCCGCCCAATTCGCTTTCCCTTTTTCCCGCGTCGGCTACGGCGACGTCGTGCGCTGGGGCGCCCGCTGTCGAGGTGCGCGACGACCCCATCGGATGCCTTTGGTCGGGGAGGCGCCGCGTCGTCCGATGGCGGTGCATGGCGCGCGGCTCTCGCGACGGGCAGTGCGCTGCACGTGCGCAGCTGGATCCCTGGTGCGTCGGGCGGATCGTGCAGCGTAGGCCTGGGGCACCACGCTTGTTTGTGGAGTTTCAGGCGGGGAACGGAACGCGCTGGAAGCAGCTGCCTCGCGGCTCCCCGAAGATTCGGCCTTTGCATGACCGCGCCAGGCGTCGTTGGGCCACCCGAGCCGAAGGCCCCATCGCCAGCGCCGCCCATGCCGAGAGGACACCACGGCCGGCGCAACCGAGCGACCAAATTGTCGCCGAGACCCACCCGTGGAAGGGGGCGAGCGGCTTGCTGGGGGGGGGGAAGTCGCTGGCGCTCACTATGGCACAATCGGCCAGGGCGTTTCTACAGGGACCGTGGCGCGCCATTGGGCACGGGGGGCCTTGTGGGCCCAACGTGCGCCCAGTGGGTGGGTGCGTGCAAGCTGCCGCGCATCTGGTTGGCGCGCGTTGATGGGGTCCTTCACGGAAGCGCTTGTCAGTCTCTCCAAGTTGGAGCAATGGTCTGCCTGGGGTCTGGGCGGACCTCGGCCCTTTCGGAGAAAATTCTGCGGGGCCTAGGAGTCGCGGGCGATGAGGCGCGCGTCTGGACATGCGACTGTGGCGACGACGCGCGGGGGTTTTGCGCCTAGCATCCACCGCTCCAGGACGACGCCTCTTTCGACGCGGGTGATTGGTGGGGCCCCTGTTGCAATGTCATCGCACGTCCTCCTCTGGCCCCCAGAGTATGGGCTCAGGCGCAGAGCGGCTGAGCACTGTAGAGCGACATATTGGTTCGGCAGTGCTCTCCCTCGTTCCACCCGTATGCAGC